AAAGAGGCATTATAATTGAATGTGTTTATTCTTCATTGATCATGAGAGCATAGCAGTTATGCGTCTTTGTAAAAATTTAGCACTTTGAAAGGAACAGGTATGTGCGGTGTCTCATAGACACGTTTAATGAAGAATCTGCTTGCTGGCGCAGATGAGTTTTTGCTTTCATTCAGTCTTTGTTAGTGTGTTGCAGAATAATTAAGACATAGAATTTATAGCTGGAGTGGAATTTCACTTACATGACCACAGAACTCACAGTCATTTTTCAAGAAGAATCCTTTATGTTTAGTTTTTGTGTTTTTATATAGGCAGAAGTGTGTTGCAGTGGTTAGGGCTGGGTACTCTTAACTTTTGCGGGCTCGAGACCCAGGTGTATTTGTTGTACATAGTGTGATGTGCTTCTACTGAGTTCATGAAACACGGTGCTGATTTGATTAATTAAACTGATAGTAGATCATTATATCATTACTTTCAATACTCGCTTATCCAATTCAGTGTCACAGTAGCCTGGAGCCCATCCTGGGAAGCATTGGCCGCAAGGCAGGATCTGAAAACAGATTGTATTCCATTTATGGTCCTATTACACTTGTTTCTTACCAGCATATATTACAGTAAATACAAGCCAAGATATTTACTCTCAGTTAAATTATCTCTCTGCATTTTCTTTGAACTCCTTTCACTGTCCTGGTGTTCGTAGCTTGAAGCTTGATACAAAATAATTTGTAGATGCAGTTGAGTGTTGGAATTTTGTTGAAACTGATGTTGAAATCTGCAATGGGCTGGCTTGCTGTCCAGGGTCTAAAGGATTGTGAGACTGTGGAACAAGGTGCCTGGCTATGTTGTGGAAGCTGATGCCCTTGCTTCTTTGAAGAAATGGCTCAGTGAGTTCCTTGGCTTATATAGGTGCTTACTATCCAGTTAACTAACCCAACCATCTAGATTGGCTTCTTTTTATTTCTAATTAACCTTATGCTCAATATACTTGTTAATTACTTTCAGTCTTTGAGTACTTTTTAAATCCCGTTTGTTGTCCGTGATTCTGTGGCACTAGGGTTCATAATCTGGCAATTTCCCTGCTCTAACATTTTAATGTTTTAAACAATTAGCCAGTACCTACAATACTGTTTTTCCTATTGTCATTTTGTTTGCTGTAGTTTACTTTTGTGTGGTAAAGTTGTACCGAGGCTGCTCGTGAAATAGAATAATAGCAATGAAAAAAAGGTTAAGGCTTCAGTGGCATTTTTCCTCATCAATCATAAAGAGTTGTAGATCAAGGTGTAATTATATTTTTATAGCGGCAAAGAATCAGTCATTAATTTAATTTAACTTATAAAGCCAAGGAAGAGATAGGCAGCAAAATGTGTCAGAATAATATATTGCACATATAAAACTTACATGAGCTTTGTATCACTGAAACGTCATCCCAAAGCCTACATTTACTTGTCAGATTTTTCTAGTTGCATTACAGCTCTTAACACTTAATGTGTGACCTTTATCATTTGTAACAGTAATGCCAGAGACCTTTTATTATTAAATCTTGATAAAGTTAAAAGTATTTTCCTGATTGCTCTACATTTTTCCCTCTTTCTTAAACTGCTGTCACAACTGACAAGGATAATCTTCACTCTTGGGATTATAAAGTTATCCCGCCGTCATCATTTTTGTCAGCTTAGCTTATATTAGCAAACACCCTGTAGTTAAGCGTTTGGGGCTTTGTATTTCGGATCATAAAGAACATGGGAAATCATACTGTACCGTTAAACCTAAAGTAGGTTAAGGAGCATGACAATCAATTACTTTGGCAGCACCATGGTCTAAACTGAGATCAGAATAAAGTCCATATTTTGTTAAATTGAGGGGCTATGCTGAATTGTGTTTCTGTTACCCAGTACTTTTACAATACAAGCCTTTTTAGTTTTTTAAGATTTGATCAGCATTCCAAAAAATATGGATGAAGATTTCAGGAATTGACCTTCATAGTTGTTTTTTTTTTGTCTCGTTGATTATAAGAAACTGCTCATGTTTTAAGGTTTGGCTTAATGCTGAAATAAAAATGAAAAACAACTGAGGGAACAAGGGCAGTTGTGTTTTTGTGATTAGATCAAAAACATGTTTTAAATGTAGTTATGATAGATTTTAGCAAACAACTTTTTTTGCTCTTACCTTTTTTGATTACTATACAGTATATGCTTTCACATATTAATACTCCATGGGGGGGAATGCTCAAACTGAAGTGATGTAATTATTGAAGTACCACAAGGAACTGTATTGGGTCCACTGCTCTTTTTAATATCTATATTACTCCTTTATATTTAAGTACAAGCTCAAGTTTCTGAAGTATCCTATAGACAGTTTATACCAAAATATCACATTTGATATCCGTACCAATGAATGGGTTGTGGGAATCTGAACACGTTATTCCTCCATATTGTGCAAGTTGATGCACCAGGATTTTTCAAGCTGCAGTTGGACAAGGTCATTGGATCACTTAGATGCGAAGCAAGCTTGAAGGATCATAACCTTGTTCAAAACCTTTCTTATGTACTTATTCCAATCAGAGGAATAGGAATTGGGCAGGGTTATAATATCCCTGGGGGCTCTATCTAATGGGGGCTCTGTGTCACAAACAACACGCCAGTAACTCAATCTACATTGAAGTGAAAAAGTAGTGAATTACACTAGAGTTTGATCTTTTGACAATCTTTTGGCGGGTCCGGATGTAAAACGATCTCATTTTAGCCAGAGGATTAGCCAGTGCACTGTGGTTAGCATTCTTACTGTGTGGACTTTTGCCTTTGGATCTTAAATAAGCGAACGTAAGTCCTCACTTTGCCATCTTATCTAAAAGATGCTGCCTCCTGTTGCAGTTTCCCCTGCTGGAGCATTCAGACGCTGGCTTAATAATCTGTCCAGGGGGAAGGGTGCTGTCTCCTGGTCTACCACCGCCTTGACTAGCACCAGCCTGATTCTCTGTGTACAGTATTCCTCATCCCTGTATGCATGCATGTATCTGTCTCAGTTTTGCTTAGGTCTGAACAGATCAGTCCTTAAGATTCAGTATGGCTGAATGTTGATATAAGTTAAAATAATTTATACATTAAGCTTACATCTCTGGTGCAGATTGTTTACTTCTGTACGACTGCCATCTATTATATAAACTGTGATTAGTAACGTGGAAGCGGTTGCAAGATTGATAACTACTTCACATTTTGGAGTATCCAACCATAAAAAGTTGCATTTTTTTACACCTGGCAACTCATCAATTCTAATGAAAGCTCCACTGAGACGAGCACGCAACACATTGCGAGCTTTATTTGTGAATTCTACCATTCTGTAACAGCCTGGGAAGCTGCTTGCTTTGCTTGAATTATGAAGCTGTGTGTCTCAGCAAATGTAAATGGTTGGAAAGGGTTGATTGTAGCACAGCATTCATCCATGGCTTTTTGTAAAATGTAATAGAAAACTTGGAAACCAGATGAGACCGACGTGTTCTTACCTTGCTATTCTCTTTTTTTTAAGAGCGCAACTACATCATTTGAGAAAAAGCATGAAGATGAGTCACAAAATAAATAAGTAAATAATAGAAAGGATAGGTGGGAGAGGGTAAGAATATACATACAAGACATGTGCAATTTTCCATTATGTATTAAACATTAATATAGGTGCTCAGACCTGAAGAAACAGCCACAATGATGTGTTTATTCTCCTTTTCGGTGTAGAGTTAATTAACCCTTACTTTGTGCCGTTGCAGCCAAAATGCGCTGACACATTACTCTTGAACAGTAATTAGTAATAAGGCTGCATTTTGACTTGTTTCAAACTGGTGAGTCAAGGTGTGGAAATGTTTACTAAGCTCTTCCCCCAGTGGCCTAGCTATCTTCCTAGGTATGTGTTTCCAGAACATGGAGGTGTGAATGATCGCGTTGGATACGGTTTGAATTTGGGGCCTCTATCATCCGTGTGTTAGGAAGTTACAAAGAGTTAAAAAGGGGTAAAATTTGTTAGAACATAAGAAGGTTTGAAAAGAAGCCATTGTGCCCATCTGGCTTGTTTGATTGCTCATAGCTTAATGGTTTACGAATTCCATCTGCCTGTTTCCTAAAGGATCCCACAGAGTAACTTTAAACCACATGACTTGGGATTTGTTTTCAGGCTTCTGCAATCCTGTGTAAAGTCGGGTTTCCTGTTTTCGGTCTTGAATGGCCCTAAACCCGTGTCTCTAGGTCCTTGACTTGCTGCTGATCTCCTAGTAAGAGTTTCCGAGTCTGGCTCAGTCAGTGCCTTTTCAGGAGCAAATCCCCACATAATCTTCTGTGTTCCAGGCTAAAAAGATTCATCCCTCACAGTCTGCCTGAGTAGGACAGCCTCTGGAGCAGAAATGTCTTTCTTGTAGCATGTGACCAAAACTGAGTGCAGTAATCCAGATGAGATCTGACTAATGCATCATATCTTAAATCAAGGGAAATGGCATTTTATTAATTGTCCTTTTTTATTGATTCTCCACACTGTCTTGTTGGGGGGAAAAAAGTGATGGGTCCACATAAGCTTTACCTGTGCGTCTTCCGGCATGTAATACTTGAGCTTTTGTGTGCATCGGTTTTTCTTGGATCTTCCTGTGTTACATTTTTTTTAAAATGTTTGCTCATTGTATCGGAGTCTAGATTGCGAAAGTCCTGAAAATACTTATGTGATGTGTTCCTGTGCTGATCTTTCACTCTTGTGAAACAAAACCCTTGATGTGGGGTTAGTCTCCCAAAATTGTATCCATCTCCCTTAGCGCATATGAGGTTGCCGGACTTGTCTTTGCAGCCCGGAGTTCTCTCTGTGTTTGCTTCATCCTTGTCTGCTTTGTATCTTTTTGTATATGGAATATACATTATGATTTCACCCAAATATTCAAATTGCCAACGATTATATGGTGGGACTTTTTTTTTTTACAGTCAATATTGCTAGATGCTTTGCCGATGAAAGCTTGTGAAAATTGTTTTTAAACCTTTCAGGTTGCTACGGTGTTGATGGAGAGAGCGATTCCATCATGAGCTCGGCATCTGAAAACTCTACTGAGCCTTGGTTTTGCGATGCCTGCAAAAACGGCGTTTCCCCTAGCTGTGAGCTGTGTCCCAATCAAGATGGGATTTTCAAAGAGACTGATGCTGGAAGGTATGTATCCATCCGTGTGGATTTCATGTGTTTCTCCAGTGACTTTCTAGAATAAGGAAACTTCCAAAGCCTCTCCTGTAACTCAGTGGTCTGTTGATATTTGCTCAGGTGTGTTTGCATCCCAAAGGTTTTTTTAAAGCTATAAACACACTAAGGTAACTTAAGCAATTAAATGTCTTATTTTAGGAACGTTGGAGGGGAACTGAAGCACTGCTTTGATATTCTGGGATTGGAAAAAATCGCCATTGACGAGTGTATATCAAACCACAATAAGAGCAAAACGTGCACAGTAAAGTCATGTGTAAAACCTCCAATTTCCATCACAAAATAGACGGCATTTCCAGATCTGCACAACGCCATATTGCTGTCATTGTCTGGAGTTCAGAATGAGGCAACAAAACCTTCGATGGTCTCCATCCATTTTCGAACTGCTTTTTCCAGTTCAGGGCTGCAGGGAAGCTGGAACATATCCCAGCAAGCAGCAGGCACGAGGCAGGGCGTACTCTGGCTGGGAGACCAGTCCATTGCCGGGCACACACAGACATGTACACGGTCACTCCCAGAGCCATGTTTCCCAAACAAACCACGTTGTTTTTGAACTGTGAGAGGAAACCAGAGCAGCCAGGGGAGACCCACTTGAATACCAGCTCCACACAGAGAGAACCCACAGCTCCAGCACTGCGAACCCGCAATACTAAACACTGTGACACTGGGCTTTCTCATGACTAAAAAGTAATAAAAGAATAAAAAATGAAAAATAATACTGCTTAAAAAAATATAAAAGACAGACATCGCATCGTGATCAGGATGTAAGGTGTAGTCTCTGGTAGATTCTGTGCTGTTCAGCATTCATTATTTTAAGGTTTCTTGAATCTACTGCTCTCTAATACATTCTGTATTTTGTGTTCTAGATCTTAAATTAACTTCTTGTTGTTGTCAGTAGTCTGAACAGTTGATCGGTTATTCTGAAGCAACATTCCCACCTAGATTTTGCTTCCATGAAATGAGTCACTTTCTGCATCGTGCCGCAATGCTGTGTTTTGAAAAGACGGGTTTAGAGACAAATTTGGATGCAGACCTGAATCCTTCCTCCCCGGGCTGGTGCACATTAATTTCGGCTTACCGAAAATGCATCACCAAACATTAAGATCTCTTACAAGAAAACTGCAGAAAGATTGCAGAAGGATGTTAAGTACACAAATCATTCGTTTGTGTTCTGTGATATCAGGACAAAATGCTTTGCATTAATAATAATGATAGTGGTGATTATAATATTAAATATCGTAACAAAGATTGATGACTTATGTAGCCCTTTACATTCTCAAAGTTGCAAAGCTTTACACTCATTCAGGAGGGAATGCACTCCAGGCACATAGTGCGGTAGCCATTCTGCACCAGCAGCCCCATTATGCAGCAGGTCAAGAGAAAAAATGAGAAATTGTTTCAAAAGTTGAATTAAGGAGGAACCGTAGGGAGGCTGGATTTTGCCAGACCTGACTGGACTTAACTCCAGTGTGAATTGCTCTGCGCTTTTAGTCAGATCATCAGTCTAACATTACATTGAAGGATAGCACCTCCTACAATATGCCTGGTATCTCTGGGACATTGGTTTGGGAAACTACTACCGCTTACAGCAGTTAACCTTGTTTTCCATGGAGGCTATTACTGACAAGGCCCAGCCTGGCCTAGCCTTTGAAATGAAATTCAGATAGTAAGTGGCATTGCTGAAGGTGTATGTTAAATGTATGTTGCACACTGAGAGTTTAAAAGACCATTTCTGAATGATGGTTCTTTGATTGCACTGTGCAGGGTTTGTTTTCATCATTGTAGCAACAGAGAGGCTCCCTTACAGATGAAACCTTATGAAGTTCTTGTGCTTTCTGAATGAGGGTGTTGCACTTTCTTCTTAAATCCAGAAAAATCCATGCTAAAATGTTCTGAGATGGACAACATGAAGCATGGCGACAATTGCTAGTGTTATCACAGATAGAATTCTGAAGCCTTCTCTAGCATTTAATACTTCACTAGAGCATGAAAAACAGTGTGAATTAAATTGAGAAGCAAGAGCTTGTTGAAGATGTGTTATCTTTATATTGGGCTTAGGATGCTTTCCTTTTCTAAAGTCTGCATTTAAAATCAGACTGCTTTAAATAGCAGCTGGGTTAGTGAGTCGTTTTATCTACGATTTTTCAAGAAAGGAAAATAACTTTTTATTTCAATATTTTCTTTTAGATCCAAGAATCATGGTGACATAGTGTTAGATTTCCTTTGGAATTATAACTTGTATTATGGCAGGAAACAGCTAGTGGTTTTTTTTTTAAGTTAGAGTAATGCATATGTAAAAGCATGACCTTTGTAACTGTAATGATGGAATTATGTGGTATATGATAAAAACATAATATTTCATAACAATTGTGACTCACTTCTTTTTCTTTTAAATTACTAGAAAAAGAAAAAATCTAGAAATAGTACAGCACAGCTAGAAATTCTAGTCAACTGTTATGTAAATTACCATTATTTGTTATGTAATTAGTATTATTTTTTAACAATTATAGTTTATATAGTAGCATTTGGTAAAAACAACTTATGCATTTTGAGGTACATGGGAATTAGGATGTTTGCTTTCAAGTTTGGGGACTGTCACTCTTTTGGATATTGATCAGTCGTGTTTAATACTTGCCTGTTTCATGCTAAAGCAGTATCATAGTTTCCATAAAGCAGTGCTGGCATGTAGTTGTGTGTAGTGAAGCTCGTTCAGACACGGTGACGTCATCGCCCTCATTGCGTGTATCAGGGACCTCAGCCGCCTGGGCTGAGGGAGGTCTCCGTTAGCTCGCTCGGCTGGTTCCCTGTTGCGTTACGCCGGAGACCCGGGTTCGCATCCCAGGTGTTCTGGGATGAACCGGGGGGTGGAGCAGCGAGAGGCACAAGCCCGCACGGAACCGCGACGGTCACGGTTGTGTAAATGAATTTGTGGCGATAGTTGTACAGGAGGAGAAATCAATGCACATGTGTCCCTGTGAAGATGTTTCAGAGCATGAGCAAAATGGCCTAAGAGAAAAGTCGCTTGTAAGACATATTCAAAACAGATCCTTCAGGTGAACATGCCAGATTCAGTTGTGTGGTGTAATAGTGAATTTCATACTTGCTTCACCTGTAAAAATAAGCAACAAAACAGTTCTGCCAGTAAAAAGCCCTGGTGCTGAGAGCATCCCATGGCATGTATTCAAGACAGTAACTAATGACGCCGAGCGAAAGAAGGAAACAAAGAGATAAAAATGTGATACAGTGCGTGTCATGCTTTCATTCTTAAGTGCTGTAGTAGAGCAAAAAAATTTTCACTTGAACATCCTTTTGAAGAATTTTGGAATTTCCCAGTTTTGTTAACATGCGGGTAAATTTATGCACAGATAGGCATTGCCCGGCAGTGAAAGATTTCTTACTTTGGTAGAGAATTAACAAGCCTAATGAGCGCTAATATAAAATCATTGTGTGTAGACACAGGTGTATACAGCATTATCAGATAAAATTCTGACCTTTATGTATTTTCCATTAATTCTTTTGATTTCTCTATAAAAAAGTATTTTTTACGTAAAAGGAGTGCAGTATTTAGAATATTGCAAAAGGCTTCAATCAAATGAATGTTGAAGTTCTTTAGTTGGTTGTAAATGTTAATATTGGATATTCTTCTGTTCTGTAGATATCAGTTGAATATTGCTGTTCTTTACCCACTTCTTTATTACAAGATTTTATTTTTTTCTTTTCTCGATGTAGGTGGGTCCATGTTGTGTGTGCCCTCTATGTCCCGGGTGTAGCGTTTGGAGACATTGATAAACTGCGTCCAGTGACCCTTACTGAAATGAACTACTCAAAGTATGGCGCAAAGGTAAACTTCACTTGTGAATATCTTTCTTGAGAGAAGGGAAGCCCAGCCAGTGAAATTGTGGACCTAGATGCTTTTCATGCAGTTCCAAATGGTCTTCCTTAGACACGTTTCGTGAATCTAAAACGTGAATTGATGGTAAAAAAAACAAACTATTGTAGTCGGTCATTATTTGAAAAATACAACAGAAAAGGCTGTTGTAGAGACTTGAGAAAATTTTAGAAGACTCCTACTCACATTGTAATATGGCTAATGGTTTCTTCAAGTTTTGTACTGTACTGGCAGAAGCCCTATGCGAGTCCACCCAAAATTTACAAACCACGAAAAACTTTTAGCCAAAAAAGAGTAAATGTTTCATCTGTCTCAAACGTTGCCACATCTAATATTACTCCCTGCACTGTAACTGCATGATTTTTTTTTTTAGTAAATCAGCAACCTGTTTGTCTTTTGGTGGTGTATCAATCCACTGGCTTCCACTATAAAGATAAACGCCTCATTTTGGTAAAACAATAAATCTGTTAGTGTTGTCTTGTACATTTTTGGAGGCAAGTCCTATGAATTGGGTTGTGTCCATTTTGCCTTGGCAGGAATGCAGCTTTTGTGAAGACCCCCGCTTTGCCCGAACGGGGGTCTGTATTAGCTGCGACGCGGGAATGTGCAGATCCTACTTCCACGTGACGTGCGCGCAGAGGGAAGGCCTTCTCTCAGAGGCTGCTGCCGAGGAGGTACGTAACTGTTGGCGTTCGTCTGGCTTAAAGGCTCTCTAAGGTTATGCAAGTGCGTATTTCATGGTTTTATTGCACGGGTACCAACAGCAAGAGCAGACTTTACAGTGCTGTTCACTATTGGTAATAACCTCTCATCTGGGACTAGACATACTTCAGTCTAATGTTCAGGTTATATTATCTGCTGAATGTGTTCTGTGATGAATTGCTTGATATGAACTGTGCTGTTACCTGTATAAGGGTTCACTCTTAAGGCCATTATACAGAGTCAGGAGACCATTGTATGTTAGGCATGTTGAACATGTGTTTTGGGACTGTTGAATGCCTAAAAATGTACAAACAAGGAATCGTGTTAGATCAATTTACTAGGATTAATTCTGGTTAAAAAATGTCCTCAAAATAAATGCTGTTCTTTCACATCCATTCAGCATCTTAAAGTTGAAGAAGTTGCTCTTCAGAAATTCAGTTTTTTCATGTACATTATTTGATTTTCTTTCTGTTAATTAAAACTGTCAATATCAATAGCATGTGTGTATTCTGGAATATAATTTTTACCCTTTTTTGATGTGTGTGGTTTTTAGGCCTAATATTTTCTTGTTAAAAGTTGTGATGGTACTTTATGATTTCTGCAAATGCTTAATACATATACAAAACCTTTTGTTAGGATTTGAAGTTTTGTACCAAATTAAGAAGACCAAATAGATACAGCCTATAGGTTGCAAGCTTTAAAAGTAAACGTTAAAAAAAGAACCACTTGGGATGTTAACTAACAAATCAAATTAAACCAATATATAGGGTTAAAAGATATAAACTTGTAAAATTTAAGAAGTAGCAACCTGTCACACTCCATGCTCCCTATGTTTCTAGTCTTGTTTCTTGTTAGGCATGAAATGCTATGACAAAGTGTACACAACATTTACAGACATTTCTGTGACACTCCAGTAAGATACTTAAGTAAGACACCTTGTTTAGTACAGTTCTCTGGACTACAAATACGAATTTTGAAAGTACATGTACATATGGCAGTAAACTCCTCTACTGCTATACTGAACACATTATTTGTACATTTTAGGTAAGGCCATGGGTCTCTGATATCTCCTTCAGATTCCTAATAGGAAGTCATGAAAAGCTTTTTCCTTTGCACTTGTGTTGGGAGACATATGTTCTTTTGAGGACCCTGGGCTGTAGGAGGTCCTATCCTTTGGATGAGAAGCTTAAAAAAGGGCCTGCAGTAATTCAAGTGGGTAGCTGCGTCAGCATGCATAGGCTGCAAAGGAACAAGTAAAGGCTGAAAAGAGAAGAAAAGAAACAACGTTCTCGAAGAAGGCTCCATAGCCAAAATTATGCATTTCTTTTCTTCTCACTTCAGCATGGAATAAACCTTTACTTGTTCCTAAAAAAGGGTCTCTTTTAAATTACCTGACTGCTTCGTCATTAATGATTCCATCGCCCAGTTTATAAGAGTAGGGGTGTTAATCCTGGCTAAATCCACTCTAGAATTGTGCAGTCTGTCCTTTCTAAAGGCTACCTCCTCCTTAACTTAATTGGTAAAACAATTTCTCATTTCTCCATCTAATCTAATGGGTAGGGGCTGCCACGTGTTTCCTTTGAATCCAGGTGTGTGATATTTAAAACCAAATTAAGTTTATGACCAGTGTAAGGGTTTTTGTTTTTTAATCTCTTAAGTATGACCAGTTTACTCGTTGTCTTTCAAAATACTTTGTTTGTTTTATATGTAGACAAGTGTCACATAAAACACAGAACAAGTCTCAACTTTGACTTTAAATGCATGCAATGTCTTGCTGGGAGGTGTGGTACTTATCCATTTCAATTGATAACTTAAATTGAATCTGCTGTTTTATTTCCCCAGTTTTAAGTGGTTTTAGTCCCTAAACTACTTGGGGAGAGAAATACCCCTTTGTTGTCTTGAAGTGCCTTGTTACACGAGTACAAAACTGAGAAAATGATGAAGTACAAGGCTTGCGTTTTCTGAATAATTTTCACGCACCTTAATGCATCATGGTCGTTCCATTCGTTTTTAGCAGTTGAAAAGCAATTACAGTATTTTGAGTGCTCAGATGCCTGATAGCTTGGTTAAGAAAGAGGTTCAACAAAAGGCATTTAGTTGAAAAGGCAGGTGTTTTATAATGGTATTTTGTGTGTGTCTAAAGCACAAATGTTGAGCAAGTGTCAAGTCTAGGAATAGCTAAAGTGATGAAACATAGTGTTATAGTCAAAAGTATTAGATTACATATGACTGCATATTATTGATTCAGATGTCTTAAATCAATTTGGAGTTTTGCTTTGATTGCCATGAAGAAAGTCATCAAAAACTGTAGTCAAATATTTTGTTTTGAGATTTTTTATGTGTTTTTAGCAAAATTGTTGTATGCTTTCACTTTCTGCAGATTCATGACTGGTTAAAAATACCTATGAGTTTAAAAACATACATATTGTATGCAGTCTACACACTCTAGTCTTTTGTGTATGCCAAATAGGCCAGATAAAAGCAGTATTCATGGCGATAAATACTTGACGTATTGCCAACCTATTGCAGGCAATTTAATCCACTGAACTGTGAAAGCAACTAGTATCAACAGGTGAGTTGGCTGATATCATCTATAGAGCCATCTTAAGCCTAAATGATTCAGTTGAAGCTGTGAATTGGAAAATGGGTATTGCCGTATGCTTTTCTTGTGGGTACAATATCCAGTATTTTCCAGCTTCACAGATGGAAACTTTTGGAGTATTAAAAGAATGAAATAATTATTTTTGGTGGTTACAAAATTTAGATGTTAACCAATAAACTGTTTCATTTTTTCGGTATAAATTGATTATATTTTGTCTATATAAATTCTGAATTTGTGTTCTAGGCTTTAATGTTTCGTGGTAATGTTACTCAATTGGTGAAGCATAGAATCTGGGAAAATAATAGCTAATACATTTCTTCCAGGTGGTTACTATGTTACTGTTCTTTTACATAATAATTAAACATTGATATGTTTATCACATTTAACTGTTTGCAAATTATGACACTGTTTTATACACTTTTGTGTTTAAAAACGTTTGATATGTTTCAAAATATATTTCTCAGGAACAGTAAGATTATGGTAGAAACCAGTCAGATTTAGTGCTCTTGCTTGCTGTTAACGTTCAAAATATAATTGTTTTTTAAAAGTATTTTTTGAAAATATTGTGGGTGTATTGTGAAATAACAGGTCCTTTTGTGGTGTCCTGTGAAATAGTTTACACTGTTTCAGAGTTACAGAAATACAATATTACAGAAATATGAGGCTAAAGTGGAACCATAATCATGATGTATCCTGTTGGCAACAAGGTTCTTGTGTATAGTGAACTCCCCCCCCCTCTTTTCTTTCTCACCCAAACAGGACATAGCAGACCCGTTTTTTGCTTACTGCAAGCAGCATGCAGACAGGTTTGACAGAAAGTGGAAAAGGAAGAACTACTTGGCTTTGCAGTCGTACTGCAAAATGTCTTTGCAAGAGAGAGAGAAACAACTTGCACCCGAAGCGCAGGTACTGATACCAGATTAGTTCCATGCTGTTAATCATGGAATTGAATAAAGGGGTGTTCACACCAGATGCAGGCACGGTGGCTGCCAGCGCAGTTCAATGTCAGTGCTGTTGTTCTAACAAGCTGATGCACTTGTGTAGCTGATTGCCAGTAGTGTCCACACTGAAATTTCCCTAGTAGGCTGCGAGCAATAGCCATTCCCAATGAGCCCTTCTCTTCCTGGTGTAGAACTGCCCTGGCAGGCTGGTGCTGACCTGTGGCCTTTGCACCTTGGCTTTGATGCTGCAGAGGCAGTGCACACTTGACTCTGGATATAGCCTCCACTTGACATGGGTCAACCACCATCATGTGCTACTGCTTACGGGATGAAAAACATCTCTCTGTGACAAAGTAATTTTGTGCTAAAATGGGAAAGGAGTTGTTAATTGAACGGCATTTGAGATAAGGAAAGATTTATTGTCCCCTGAGGGAAATTTTATGGACCGCTGCTGAATTTATTTAAATTTATTTTCTTGCTTTCATTCTTGCGATCAACAGATTTAAATCTTCACAAGCCCATGTTCTGCCCGATAGGTCTGTTATTATTTACACAAATTCAGAAAAATAACTCTGATTATTTTGGCTGTTTCATCTCCTTTTCACATCCAGAGCAGTGAAGAGTTATTATTTTAGATTCAGGTTCTAGATGACTTGTATGCTTGCTACAGGACATTTTCTTTTGAGAACTATATCCATCATGGCTTCGTAACGGTGACAAACATCCTGAAGAGAAAGAGAGAGTCCTAAATGACTCCTGTGTTTGCAAACATCCACATTTTTTTGTATGTCAAACGTCTAGAAATCTTGTTGTATTTTACCTTGGGCGGTGTGAATGTTTAAAATGATAAAGAGGTACCAATGATCGCAGATGAAGAGCTCGGTGACCCAAATCTAAATCAGTGCTTCACCCTTCTTGAATCGCTGGTGCCGTTTTTCTTTCTTACCTCAACCCTGGAAGCGCAGAGAGCTGATGTGCGCCCCCTCCTCTCCCGGCTCGTGTCTTCCAGGCCCGGATTTCCGCCAGGCTCCAGCAGTACCGCGCCAAAGCCGAGCTGGCCCGCAGCACTCGGCCGCAGGCCTGGGTCCCCCGCGAGAAGCTGCCCCGGCCGCTCACCAGCAGCGCCTCGGCGATCCGCAAGCTCATGCGCAAGGCGGAGCTGATGGGGATCAGCACGGACATTTTCCCCGTGGACACCTCCGACACCAGCTCCAGCGTGGACGGCAGGAGGAAGCACAAGCAGCCGGCCCTCACGGCTGACTTTGTGAATTACTACCTTGGTACGGACGGTCCGAGTTTGTTGAAATACAAGTTCTTGCACGGCAGATGCAAACGTTCTTTTGTTGGCAACACTGTGGGTCACCAGGCAGACATAAAGTATTATTTTATATAGCCTGCAGCCATAGTTCCCTGCACTTCACAGCTGGCAGCCCACTGAAGCTCAGCAGGTGTGAGCCTGGCCAGTACCTGGATGGGAGACCTCCAGGGAAGGCTAAGGTTACTGCTGGAAGAGGTGTTAGTAGGGCCAGCAGGGGGTGCTAATCCTGTGGTCTTTGTGGGTCCTAATGCTCCAGTAGAGTGATGGGCGACGCTACACTGTTAAAAGGTGCCTTTCTTCAGATGAGACATAAAAGCAGGTCCTGACTCTCATTAAAAATCCCAGGGTGTTTCTCAAGAAGTGTAAAGGTGTTATCCCAGCATCCTGGCCAAATTTCCCATTGGTCTTTACCAGTCATGGCCTCCTAATAATCCCCATCTATGAGCTGGCTTTTTCACTCTGTTCTCTTCCCCTGGTGTCTTATTTTCTTCCAAATCCACTTAGAGAGGAATATGCGGATGATACAAATCCAGGACAACATTGCGGAGCAGAAGAACCTGAAAGACAAACTGGAAAATGAACAGGAGAAGCTCCACATAGAATATAACAAGGTACGGTTTTATTCAGTTATCAAGCCCATGTGTAGAACCAGTGAAAGCCTGCAGCTGCCTAGGCAACTGGTGACTTCATGTTGCTGTTCCGCAAAGTGATTCCAAGTGCAGTCAGGATCACAAGAACTTTTTCACCTAACTAATGTTTAAATTCTCAGAAGTAATTTAACAATCATCTGCTATCAAGAATGAAAGAAGTCATGTGCCGCACTGCATCTTTAGGACAGAAAATGCGATCTGATTAAACTATTGAAATGTCTCATTTATTTAAATTGGAAGAAAAATGTCACTTATGATTAAATCTTAAACGTGGCAATGTAAGATTTTTTTTTTAACTTTCCTCTTCATTTTCTTATGGCCAGGTCAAGAGTGCTTCCTGTAGATATAAATAGCAGTGTGGACTACCTTTGTGTATCGAGCGTGAATGTGGTTGTCCTTGCTTTATCTTATCTTATTTTGTTCCTGTTTTATCTCAGTTGTGTGAGTCTTTGGAAGACCTGCAGAATGTCAATGGCAATCTGAGAAATGAAGGGCAGGCGATGTGGTCTGTACTGAGTGGCATACTTGGGCAGGTTGGTGACCTTTCTCCACCTTTTGTTTTCATTTTCTGTGGCCGTTTTTTTTATTCTTCTTGTGCCTTTTGCATTTATGCCAAGAAAAAAAAATCAATTTGATCAGATCCACCAATACCCTTGGGTAATGATTTCTGATTGAAATAAATCCAGATTGTTGTGAACCACCTACGGGGGACTTGTGGCTTAATTTTGTTGTTGTAATAGCTATCTTGTTTGTAAAATCCTTTCATTTGCTGTAGCTGATTGACCTGTCATTCGCTATGAAGCTAGACCTGAATCGAATGTTACAGCTATCTACTGCCTTGTTTTTGCCATGGTAACGAGAATACTATACCATACAGCCGTGAAATCTGCGTCATTAACGAGTAAGAGATGGGCAAGCCCCTGTGTTCTGTAATAAGACTTTTTATTTTAGATTATCTTTATTTATAGCCTCCATATGTTTGGCTATAAAAAGTCCTTTCAGAAGTAACGGAAGACTTGTGCATGGGCTGAATTCTGAAAGGATCTCCGGCTTTATCTTTTGCTAATCAAGCCTTCGCCATTTTTATTGTTCAGTCCCATACCTCTTACTCAGGATATCTTTATTACCCAATTATCACCACTGATTCAAAATCATGGTTTTCAAATCTACAGGTTTTTCTTTACTGTGCCTAGGTTCTTCACTATTTGAATGCCACTGATTACATAGGATTAGTTTGAGAACCGTAACAGAACCTTAACCAGTTACTTGTTACTCAGTTTTGTCAGATGAAATAAAATTATATTATTCAAAAAATAGATTGTCATATTTTATGAATATAATTACAAATCTATTTTTATAAGATTATTTTCCAAAACCTACAATGATTTCATGTGGGAGGAAGCTGCAGAATATTTGCATTGCAGAAACACCCTGTTTTGGACATTAGAGGCGCAGAGATCATTTAGTGCTTTTTGCATTCCTATGATGGCGTATTGACAGAAAAACACAGTTTTTAATTTCATTTTCGTTCATTTGGAAGAAGGCCACAAAAGTCAAGGTGAAGTGAGAAAAGGGGCTTTAGAAAAGTTGCGTCCTGAAGAAGTTAGTACTTATAGGCACTGCAGCGAGCTGTCTTTTGTTTCTTCCGCTTGTGTGTAGGCGGGTGGTGGTGGGGATGTGGACTGTAAAGGCACCTGTGATGGTGTAAAAGTTGTGGTATGGAAACGTACCTGATGTAAGTTTATTGTGTGCATATTTCTATGGGCATAGATTCTGAGTAAAATCAAGTACTGGTATGTGTACAGTCTGAGTCAGAGTGCGGCCCCTGCTTTCTACTCATACCAAGACAGGAGGCAAGGGCCTTTTTGCAGAACAGACTCAGATCTGGAAGAATTTAAAATAAATGACAGTAAGTTTAAATTCTTAAGGGAGGAGAATAATGGTCTAGGGTTCTTCCATGTCATGAATACGTTGCCCTTGTCCATATGAAACTGAATGTGGAACTATTCTTAAAACGCTTCTATTTCTGCCCTTTTGTCTTACTGCATGATTTAAGGCATTGGTCAAGTGCCTTAAAAACGCAGGCATGAAATGGTGTTTTCTAAATTTGATTTGACAAGTAATGAAAGTATGTTCTTGTACCCCAGTTTGTGGATTGTTCAAATCTGCAATTGGCAGTGCAGCAGAAGGTTCAATTCTTATCCCTCTCGGGGCATTTGTAATATCAGCATTGATTAGTTTGCGGCCCCCGGAAAGTTGTAATAGTTCACGGTCTCGTGGCGGAC